AAGGGTGTGACTGTTCCTTGGCTTTGCCATCCCATTCATGTCTTGGATGCCCTGGGGTAACACAATCTCCAGCCCTGGCTGGAGTCAGGTGAGAGACTCTGCCCAGGCACCTGAAGATTAAATAATACTTAAAATTACTGCCCAGCTTTGTAGGTTTTCTGAAATGTCACCAAATTTTATCACTATTCTAAAATTTATCATTATTCCAAAATTCCAACGTCTCTTTCTGTCCACTCCTAAAAATTACCCAAATATCCACTCAATTATCTGAACCAAACCTCTCCTCACATGCCTGTCAATAATACTGATAAAAAATTCATCCAATGCTTTTTTGCTTCATGTCTCTGATGCCCTATCAGTAAAAAAATTAAAGATAGATTTGTCTGAAATAAGTTTTAATTGAGAATGTCTTTTCCCATTCTACATGAAGGAGCTCATCTTCAAAGCAATCTGCACAAATCCCATTAACAGCAATAACAGAATTTGTGCAAGTAACTCCCCAAACACCACTTTGAACATTAAGCCCTTTACTTAATTCAATATCAGATAAAAACCATGATCTAAGGCAATGCAAGGACTTGATATTCTGGTTTGTGTTTCATAATGGGCTGGAGACTCTCACACACAGAGACACATCAGGCACATTGATGCCACAGCTTAACAACTTTAAATGAAAACAGAAAAGCTGATTCTTATTAAAGGAAGTAAATTGAAAGGAAAGGAAAAAAAAAAAAAGAAAAAAAGAGAAAAAGGCCCCCAGCATCAACCTCAAATAGCAACTTCATTCCCAGAAGAGAAATGAGAGAAAAGAGAGAGAACATTCTTTGACTGGTTTTCTTTTCCTCCTCCACCTCCTTCACGATCTTTTCCTCCTCCATCTCATTCTTAACAAATATTTGGGCTTGGACTGGTATTTTTCTACTCTGCCCTCCCATACACAAATGCAGTGTACCCCCATAAAAATTCAGATTTCATTGAGAAACGTCATGACCCAGGTATCAGCCACCCTCTTAGGGACATTGTTTTCTCAAGCACATGAAGGAGAGGGAAAGTTGTATATTGATTTCTTAAGTGTGCTAGAGACCCTGAATCAGGAAGGAGGAGGAAAGACATTCCCAATTTTTCACTGCAACACAGCATGATGTGCAGGATCATCCTGGCCTGCCTCAGTGGTTCCTGCGACAAGAGAAGACAGCAGGGCTTCTCCACTGAAAAAGGATGTATGAATTTATTCAAAGTTCTTGGCTGAAGATATTCTCTTTAATGTATTTATCCCTTGTAATAATAGAGGTTAAAAATGAAGTCAAGCTCCAAGGCACCAGCAGTTGTAGATACCGAGCAAGCACAGAACAAAATGAGGATGATATTTCAGGGCTTTATTTCATGCTGAAGTAGATCCTTGGAGGCAGAGAAGTCCTCAGATGGTCCAGGTTCTTGTTCTTCTCTCCTTTTGTCCTTCTCTCTATTGTCCTCATGACAGAGCACAAAAACAAGGGTCAAAGCCTGGCACTGGTGGTTGCGGTTTGGGACCCACTGTGCTCAATCCTTCCTTGGCCAGGGAAAGTCCTGCTGTGGAGGCTCTGAATAGAAAACTGCACTGCTAAAATGCAATTAAGATCAATCATACATCCAGGAGCTCAGCAGACCTTGCAGTTTTCCTGTGCAAACCTAAAGCTTCACAGTTTGGATGCTGGAGGTCCTTCCAGCTCTGTACAACAGTGAATTTCAGAGGGATGTTTGCATTTCAATGTGGTGATTCCCCCAGCACACTCCTCCCTAGAGACAAGTGTGATCTCACCTTAAGCCAGTGGGAACACAGGCCCTGATTTCTGCAAGGTCCCCAGGTCTCAGTAACAAGTCCATGAAAGTGATAATAAATAACACTTTCTTCCCCTAAACAGGTCCTTTTGCTGGCTGACATCATGGAAGGCTGCTGAATGCCTTGGCAGGGAATCCTT